AGGTGTTCAGAATGGTTTGATCCCTATTCAGCTGAATTCCTGAGACCAGACGAAATCCAGGTCTCCTACTCCTCCGCCATCTTGCTCCGCCCCTCAGGGTGACTTGTGCTTGACATTTTAAGGCACTGTGTGGCAAAGGATTTTAATTCTGGTTCCTTCCTTTAAGATCATTTATGAATTTCTAAAATGCAGACCCTGGCACATTCCTCTGTGAGTGCAAGTTTCCGTTCCTGATTAGATTGCAGGTGAAGCTCACGTTGATCTTGTCTTTGAGGAGGAAGAAGAAAGTGAGTGTCTCATTAGGCTCTTGCAGCCTGTCAGATGCTGGGTGATGTCCGGTTGCTTGGGTAGAGGTTCTTCATGTTCACGTGTGGCTTCTTCTGTAGTTCTTAACTCTGAGCTGTATCAGCATATTCCTAGCTGAGCTCCCTCACTTTACAGTAATTGGCTAAATCATCACACTCAGAATCAAGGGCTTTCCACAACTCTTAAAGTTGGAGATGAATTTGCCCCTTTGAGTGAAAGGAACATTCCACACTTCTAGTGGCATTCTCTGGTTCAGTGTTCCTGACCTTGAGTGCAGTCTTCTTGACCTTAAGGAATGATGCCATGACATCCAATCATCTTACCCACATCAAGACCAAGGTTACCCAGGGCTTTCTTAGCCAAAGCACTTGATCTCGATGAGCTCCAGCTCAACGGACACCATTAGTGTTTTCCGCTGACTGGCTACCAGATTCTGTGAATGGTTGAGAGAGCTTTCTTGAAGACACCCTCGCCTTGGGTACTATCCTACATGACAACTAGAGAAAGCAAGGCTCTCCAGATAGCCCAGTACAGTAGACAGGAGAAAAGAAGGGCCTCTGTCTTGCTTATGTAGTGTCTGTTGTCTCTTCAGTAGCTGAAGAAAAGGGCAGGATTAGTCACCAAATCTCCCATGGACATATCGGTGCCCTAAGACATGTCATTAGTTCAGCTTGACCCTGTTCTTCCAGTTAATCTGACTCATTCACCTGATTCAGGTTTTCATAGAGAAGAAGAGATTGTGGTCTCAACAATGGAGTCAGCAAAAAACAATGTAAGTGTTGGGATTTTAAGATAATACATATTCCCCAACCTCAGGGATGATTTCAGACGTGAGTACTCAGACATGTTCATTGGGTGGCCAACTGGAGCCTCCCCTGAGGAGGCCGTTCACATCCCCTGTAGAAGATGGTGCTTGAGCCAATGGGAAAATGCAGATTAGCCATTTGGAAAAAGATGAGTGGGAGGGGAGGGTATTCTGGGCAAAGGCACAGAAGGGTGAGAATGTAAAAAACAGTAAGAAAATGCAGAGCATGGGAGTGAGAATGGAGTCATCCACACAACCAGGTTTTGGCCACGATCAACCACTGAGGAGTCTAAGCATGAGGATGATGCAGTGTAAACACCAGTATCCCGTGGCTACAGAGAACAGGATGGAGCGAGACTGACTCAAGGTCAAGTGCTCCGTGGGAGAGCGATGGCAGCAGCCAGGGCAAGAAGCAACAGCCCTGGATCGAGGCAGTGGCTGTGATAATGGAGAGAGAACGGATCTAGGAGAGACTTAGGAGGGGAATCAGCAGGATCGATTGAATACGGAAGATGAGCAGGAAGACTGGCACCGTTCTCTGTCTTCCATCCTGGACCAGTAAGTGGAAGGCAGCGTTCCACTACTCACTGACACGAGGGCCACTGAATGGAAAGAACTGGAAGATCCCAGGTTCAGATGGGAGGACGGGAGTTTTAGGATGCAGGGGTGTGTCATCACTGAGCGCACAGGCATGGTTCTGAGGTCAATATGTACCACCTGCTGGCTTCCCAATAATTAATTCAATTCACTCATTCCTCCCTCTGTCTCTCTCCATACCTATGTCTAGGTCAAGCCTAAGTCAATCATTTTTCTGCGATCATTCTCATAAGCACCAAATTTCCATTTCTCTCAATTCTATTCATCCTGACTTGCTAGGCATTTCTCTTTTAGATTAAAATACTTTTGCATTATTATTTCAATTTTAAAGACTTACTACACCCCCTTCCCTCCTATTGCTTTCTTGTTCTTATACTGTATTGTTCCCCTAGGGTTTGGAGAACTACTTTCAGTTTATTAGACACATTAATCAGCTCTGTGAATATCCTGACAACGTGCACTAGAGTTTTGAAATGGGAAGAGGGTTACCTGCTCTCACGTCTAGGGATTCTTTTCACTACTTAGGCCAAATTAGCTTTTATGTGTGCTCAGCTACAGGAAATGACCATCCACAAATTTAAACTATAAACAAAAATTATGTCATGAGGTAGATGAAATTTGCAATAGGTTTGACAAAGGATCACTTCTTCCAGATATTTGAGGAGCCAGCATTGATTTAAGGGTGTTCACATGTGTTAAGGAAAGAATGGTTGGAAAGACCATTTATTTTCTCTTGTGTATACCCTCAAACACTGTAGGAGCTCACATCTTACCTAATAAGTTATTCCTGAATTATACCCCATTAATAAAGTAAACAGAATGTGGGCTTTTAGAGTTTGTCTGGTAGATCTTGTACAGCAAGAGGCGAAATTCGCTTTGCAAGTCACTCCAGTCAAGATAAAAAGTAGAACCTACGCAACCCTGACAATTATTCTTTGGAAATGAAGAATAAGGAGAAGGATTGCTCATGCATGGTGAGCTTTCCTGCTGGACCACTTGCCATGAGGATATTACATTGCTTTCCTTCCGGTTCTTTTTCCACTGGTCTCCTGTGGGAGAAAGCACCTTGCCTACATAGACGAAGGACCCTCTTCAGCTCTGAGGACTTCAACCTCATGTTCCATTCTGGAACTCTCAGGAGCTGGAGAACAGCGAAGATGTGTCACGATGTTCAGTCTCATTCTCTTAAGATGTAAATGCACAACCATAGCACACGAGCCAAAAACTGTTTAGATGGAACAAACAGAATCAAACATAGCAAGCATCAAAGTTAATCTGACACTAATTTAATGGTATGCATAACTGTTATTGTGTTGCATGGTAATTAGTCTTAAGTGGCGAGCAGTTCAGGTAAATGACTTCAATTAGGATTACTTTCCATCCGTCAAGTTAAATATTTCCAAAGACAACTGAGAGAAGAGGCAGTTCAAGAATAGGACTTTGTATGGCCTGCGCCCCTCCCTACCCCACTACCCACCCAATATACACATACGTACGTATACACACATATGCGCACACACACAGGAGCGCTAGACTGGAGGACCTGACCAACCCTCCAGTCCCTCATTTCCTCTCAACTTTCCCCTTGATGATGAACCCCATGATGCCCTATTTGAATTTTTTTTAAGACTTATTGATTTGAGAGGGAGAGAAATAGAGCATGAGCAGGAGGGGCAGAAGGAGAGGGAGAGAGAGAATCTCAAGCAGACTCCCTGCTGAGTGTGGAGCCTGACGTGGGGCTCAGTTGCATGACTCAGGTCACAACCTGAGCAGAAACCAAGAGTTGGTTGCTTAACGGACTGCGCCACCCAGGCACCCCTGCCCTATTCTGATTTTAGAGGAACACAGTATTCACCCTGAAGTTGGGGTGCCTTGATATCTAGCCCTCCAAGCACACAGAAAGAAGAAACCTAAGATCAGTGATGGGGAGAGAGGAGATTAGGGAAGGAAAAGAAGAGGCTTCTTGAACACCTCGATTCTGCATGCTTCTGATCAAAGAAGTGTTATCTGCCCATGTGGGTTCCTTTGTATGTAGGGTTCTTTATTTTGTTTTTAATTTTTAAGTAATCTCTATACCCAGCATGGGGCTTAAGCTCATGTCCCCCAAGATCAAGAGTCACATGCTCCACCGACTAAGCCAGCCAGGCGCCCCTGCACGTTGGGCCCTTGTGTTGGAGGAGAGGCTATGACAGGAACACAGGTCTAGAGGGGTAGCACCGTAAAGCGGGTCAGGGGCAGTGGGGGCATGCCCTGAGCACTGGAGAGAAGAGAGTGAGGAAATGTGAACTACAACTGTAAAGCTAGATACAGTGTCTATAACAGTTGGCTCCAGAAGCATAGGCTACCCAGGATGTAGGAGGGAGCAGGCCAGAATGGGGGAAAGGGAGATCAAGGACAACTTGGAGGAGGGACTTAAGAAGATGAGGAGCCTGACTCGAGGGACATAGTGAAGGAATGGGACAGTGACTGTACAGGGCCTTTGTGAGGGCTTTGTGCTTTGTCTTCAGGGTCCCCTACCCATGGTTCCCAAACTTGGAGGTGGTATTGCCTGAAGAGGGTGCAGGCCACCAGTGGGAGCTTCACCAGCATCAAGGACACCAACCTGCCCACTGGAACCACCCGGAGAGCTTGAAAGCAAAATGCCTTTGCCCAGGTCTCACCCCCAAAGAGTCTGATTTAATTGGACTGGGGAGCAGCCCAGGCATGGAGATCGTTCAGAGCTTCCAGAAGATTCTAATATGCCACCCAGACTGAGAACCAGTGCCCCAGAGGGAGTGATGCCAGGTTTGGTCTAGGGTTGGGCTTCTAAGTGCCAGCTTGCTCACTTATAGACCACCTACGACTTGTAGCTCCTGGCCAGAGCTTTGGCTTTATAGCATCGACAGTAACATGACAGTGCCCCCTTATGTCAGGTGCTCCAGAAGCCAACAAGTGAAGGCAGAGTCTAAAGGGAGCTGGAACAAAGGGGTGGTCCCCTCTACACCTGGATGGGGGAGCTGGGGCTGGTGGAAAGGGAGAGGAGTCATTTTACCTTCTCAGACATGAAGAAAAGATCCAAGCATGGTGTTCCCCTTGCATGGCGTTTTCTCCAGCTGGCTGTGTTTACCCCACCCCTACCTACCAGAGTGCCTTTTCTTCCCAGGCCTTGGTGACCATTACTGCTCTTTGCTAAAATACTAAGCACTTAAAGATTTGAACCGGTGTCACTTGGGTGATTCCAGGAGATGAGCTGCTGGATGCTATACTCACAAAGGGAACACATTGTGTTTTGTAGGTTTGATAGCATTGATCCTCACCGAGTTCTGGATGCCAGGCACAGGGAGATACAGCAGATGGAATCTACCATGGCCTCCATTTCCGAGGCTGCTGGCTTGTTTGAAGTCAATGTTCCTGATTACAAGCAGCTGAAGCAATGCAGAAAGGAGGTGTGCCAGCTGAAGGAGCTCTGGGACACCATTGGGTTGGTGACCTCCAGCATCCATGCCTGGGAGACCACCCGGTGGAAGGAGGTTAACGTGGAGGCTCTGGACTGGGAGTGTAAACGGTTTGCCAGGCACATCCGGAACCTCGACAAGGAGGTCAGGGCCTGGGATGCATTCACAGGCCTGGAGAACATGGTATTGAACACCTTGACTTCCCTGAGGGCGGTGGCCGAGCTGCAGAACCCAGCTATCCGGGAGCGGCACTGGAGGCAGCTGATGCAAGCCATGGGTGCGAGCTTCACCATGGATGAGGACGCCACCCTGGCCCATCTCCTGCAGCTTCAGCTGCACCATTTTGAGGACGAGGTCCGGGGCATTGTGGACAAAGCTGTGAAAGAGATGGCCATGGAGAAGACCCTGAAGGAGCTGCAGACCACCTGGGCCAGCAGGGAATTCCAGTGCGAGCCCCACCCGCGGACCAACGTCCCCCAGCTGCAGTCAGATGAGGATCTCATCGAGGTTCTGGAGGACAACCAAGTCCAGCTGCAGAACCTGATGATGTCCAAGTACATTGCCTTCTTCCTGGAGGACGTGTCTGGCTGGCAGAAGAAGCTGTCCACGGCTGATGCTGTCATCTCTGCCTGGTTCCATGTGCAGCGCACGTGGTCTCACCTGGAAAGTATATTCATTGGCTCCGAGGATATCCGGGCTCAGCTGCCCCAGGTACCTGCCGAGGAAATCCTGCTCTCTCTGTTCTCTTACTCGAGTGAAGGGAGGAGCCCCTGGTTCCCGCATCTCTAGACCTTTCCTTCTTTGCTTGCCTTGGCTTCACTCAGAGGCACCTCCCACACACATGGGGGCCTTCCAAGCCATCAAAAGGCGGGCAGAGGCAAAGAGAGAAGGTGAAATGCACACCAATTAGTTTGTCCCTGGATGGGTGGGGAAAAGGAAGGAGAACCTGGTGTGTTTTTGTTGTTGTTGTTGTTGGTTTTGGGGGGGGCGGTTCTGGGGGGTTTTGTTGTTTTTTTAATGTATATACAAGAGAGGAAGCAGAAACTATCTGCTACTGCAGTTTGGGATGAGCCAGTTCTGAGTTGCTCCACAGATGATTACAATGCAGCTAGCCACTGGAAGGGAGCCTTGTTTCCAGGCAAATGCAAGTTCCTTCTCAGCAGGGAGCCACTCTGTGACACCTCTGGCCTGAGCCACGCGCTTAACACCAGCCTTCTGCTCCGTCCTAAACAATGAATTTCGAGAAAATCTGCATTCTTCTCATTACTACTTGCCCTGTGGTTGATTGCCCCTTCTAATCTGTCCTAATTAATGTGCCATTAGCTTACCCACCTCTCGGTGGACTCGAATTCATTAAAAAAAAATTTTTTTTTTATTTTTTATTTTGCAGACGTTCTCTTGTCTCCCTTTGGTATAGCAAGTTCTCGGCTTCCAAAACGTCACGTGTCGTTCAGGCCCCACTTAAAAAGTTAAAGCTCATTCCGTCAAAATGTTGTATTTTTCCAGCTCATCCCACAAAAGTGTATTTCACGCCCTAATGCAGATTACAGATTGTACATCTGGAATGAAAAACAGCCGGAAACCGTTCCGAGAGAGATGTCATTAGGCCAAATTGAATAAGCCAGATTACTTTCTCATCTTTCACGGGAACAAAATACCTCATGGATCAGTCATAATTTACCCTGCCATCCTATTTTTAAATCTTCTTGGGAGAGGGGCTAGCTTTCCCACTTGTAGCTGTGGGATCTTGGGCAAATTACTTAACCTCTCTGTGCTCTTATTTCCTCTTGTAAACTGGGACAAATACCAGTCCCCACTTCAGGGGTGTAATTAAAGAGTGCACATAGCACCCACTGTTATGATTGTTGTCACATAATAATAATACCACAGGCTCTGACCAGGTGCCAGATATTGGGCTAAAGCCTGCATGTTATTGTCCCGGGCATTTCAACTACACTCTTGAGCAGTTGTATGTTTGAGGGAAGCAATGATAATTAATTTGACATCACATTTGCTGAAGAACATCTTTCTTTGGTTACATCAACTTTTGCGCAGTCCCAGAAGACACACTGGATTTGCTGTCCAGCTGATGCAGGAAGTATGTGTTTTACCCCAACGGTTCTCAAGGCATGGTCACAGGACCCCAGCCTTCGTAGGGGATCCTCAAGGTCAAGACTGTCTTAGTAATAAAGCTAAGATGTTACTTGCCTTTTTGTTCACTCTCATTTTTCTGTGCACACACGGGAGTTTTCCAGAGGCTACTGGACATGTGAAGTCACAACAGATTGAATGCAGAGCAGGAAAGAAAATCTGGTCATGTCCTAAGTCAGACATTAAATTTGGGGTAAAAAAGTGAAACAAGGCTACCTTCTAAGTTATTTTGTTGTGGAAAATACAATTATTTTAGATAAAAGTGTGTTATGTTACCATTGTGGGTTTAATATTGTTACTTTTTAAATGAATTAACAGGGGCGCCTGTAAGCATTTGACTCTTGATTTCGGCTCAGATCATGATCTCAGGGTCGTGGGATCGAATCCCATGTCAGGCTCCCTGCTCAGCGGGGAGTCTGCTTCTCCCTCTCCCTCTGCCCCTTCCCCCGCTCGTGCTCTCTCACTCTCATTCGAATAAATAAAATCTTAAAAAAAAAAAAAAAGAAAATAGTAATAGGATCATCCTCACTCAGCAGGGAGTCTGCTGGAGATTCTCTGTCTCCCTCTGCTCCTCCCGCCCCCCCACACTCTCTCTCTAAAAATAAATAAATCTTTTTAAAAAAATAAAATAAATGAATTAACAAATACTTTTTAAATTTCTCAACTTGAGCTTCCAATAGAGGAGACGCATTGATGGATATATTACCCACATACACAAAATCACTTTGCACTCCTCTGTGATTTTTCCAAAACAGAAGGGAGGTTTGCAACCAAAATGTTCAGGAACAACTCTTTCAAGCTAAGGATATTTCCTTCTCTGAGTTTTAGAACATCCCCAGAACCGGTTTCTGCTTCTCACTTGCTACACGAGGGATCTTCGAGTCCAAGAAAGCGATAGTTCATTTTTCCCCACGTGTTTATTTCAGGATTCTAAAAGATTCGAAGGCATTGACATTGACTTTAAAGAGCTAGCTTATGCCGCCCAGAAGACTCCCAATGTAGTGGAAGCCACCAACAAACCAGGTCTTTACGAAAAACTGGAAGATCTTCAGAGCAGGTGACGGTCTGCTTGCTGCCTCCCCTTTTTGTCCTGAGGAGGGCAATGTTTCCTTTTCCTTTTTCCGATTCTGTCTCCGAGATCCTTACTTTAACTGTCCGAGCGAGCGAGTGTGTGTGTGTGTGTGTGTGTGTGTGTGCACCTTGGTTTGCCTGTATGTCAGGTGCCATTTATTTGGGTGGAAATGCACCAGTGTGTATATTTGCAAGCACCCGTAAGTGTTTCTTGCACCGATTCTGCATGTATTCCATATGCTGTGTCTGTCTTCATTTTGGCCGAGTCTATGCATGCACCTGTGGGTCTAAGCAAACTTAATCAGGAAATTCTGTGTCTGTGCCCTCAGGTTATACCTGTGTGAGAAGGCCCTGGCTGAGTACCTGGATACCAAAAGGCTTGCCTTCCCTCGGTTTTACTTTCTGTCTTCTTCTGACTTGTTAGACACCCTTTCCAACGGCACAGCGCCACAACAGGTAAGCTGAAGGAGAGCTCGTGGAAACGTCCGGAAGGATGGAGGGGGCTCCCGGTGGGGAGGGTTTCAGGTTCCCCATTATGCCTCCTCCCTCTGGCAGCGTGTGTATTTCAGACCTGTGCTCCCACCAGCATCTTCGATGCCCACCATTGTCCTTCTCAGGGTGCCCCCTGCCCATCAGTGGCCACTGCCTCCTAAAGGGGGAAGCTTTGAGGATGGGGAATGTGGAGGGGGTGCTAAGCCTTTACAGGGAACGCCTTTGATCTGATTCTGAAGAGTGATCCAGGACATCGCTGTCCAAAGTTATAGCTAAAATTTCCACAGGAGAGAAGACTGGAGGTTGTATTAACTCGACATTTTGTGATTTTGTGGAAGGAGTGTGTATGAGTAGCTCAAAATTGGGGGCTCTAGCCACTCATTGGCCATGTAGTCTTGGGTGTCCCTTCTCTTTGACAAACTTCCCTCATCTGTAAAATAGCCCCTTTGCTACAAGGTTGGTTTTTATTTTTTTTTCCTTAGTATTAGAGTAAGTAATTGGTGCACTGTTGGTATTTGGAGCTGTGGACAGTGGTTCTCAAACTTGAGAGTCACCGGGTGGCTCAGGTGTATCAGAATCACCTGAAAAGCTTGCGAAAAGGCAGATTTCTGAGCTCTACCCCCCAGAGCTTCAGATGGTTCTGTAGGTCTGGGTGGGGCTGGAGAATTTGCATTTCTAAGGGTTTCCCACGTGAGGCTGCTGGTCTGGGGACCACACTTTGCGAGTGACTGTCCGAGACCAAAGGTTGAGTCTCCCAAGTGACTGACAGGAGGGAGGGATGATGTCTCCATGCATGTTCCCGTAGCTCTCCTCCCTTCTCACCCTAACAAGACTTCAGAATTCCTTTCTAATTCTCCACTTTTCCTGTGAGGATAGCCAGTCAAAACACCCTGTTCAGAAGTGACTTGGATGAGTTCTTTTCCCCCTTCCATGTGATTTCATTATTCATTTGAAGTATAGTCAAGTTCATTTATTTCTCTTTGCCTTGAGTTTTGGAGGTTTGTTCCCATCCTCATCGATTGGATTGTTTGAATGTGTAGCATTCTAAAGTCAAACTATGCAAAAAGGTATATGGGCAGCGCTCCTCCTGCCCCTCCCCTCCACTCCCTGTGGGTCACCAATCCTCATTTCTGGTCTGTCTTTGCAAACATGAGCAGATGTGCATTTACATTTGCACACGTACATTTTCTTATTTACCCTCCTTTCTCACACAAAAGGTAACGTCCTATATATACTTGAACACCATTTTTTTCTGTAGTGATGGGTCCTGGAAATCACTCCCTATCAATTTAAATATATCTCCCTCATTTTTTTTTTTAATACACCTGCATCACACCCCATGGGACTGTACCATAGTTTGGCCAGAGGTTGTTTATACTATTTTGCAATTCCAAATAATGTGGCATTGAATAACTTTGGAGTATTGTATTGTTGGAGGTCTGCCTTCCAGGTACATTCCTAGAAGTGGGATTTCTGGGTCAAAGGGTAAGTGCTATGTGGTCGAGTTTGATATCGCCCCATTTCCCTCCATAGAAGTTCTAGCTTTTTGCATCGCCAACGATAGATGGGAGCTGCTCCAACAGAGCCAAAAGATGGCACCCACACATTAGTTTTCTGTCTTTGTCATTAACTCTCCAAGTTACTGAACTGATGTTTTGGGTTTATTGGTAAGAAGCAAGTACTAAAGAGAATTTATCCCTAGAGTTAAAGCTCCCCCCACTTTTTTTTTTTTTTTTTTTTTTAAGATGGGAATCATTGTAGAGTAGCCCAGATATGGTGGCGGTGAAATATTTATCACACTAACATTCTGTTTTGTAACTATATGTTCATTAATTCCATGCACAGGAAAAGTCTGAGATCATTGCCAGACCCTTTATACATGATGTACTCCTTCTTAAATACTTTTTATTTATTTCTCCCTTGGTTTGAGTAAATCCTTAAGTAGCTTCCCCCCTTCCTCACCATCCTGAGAGATGACGCATGAGAGGCTAACCCCCAATTCTTTCTATATCTGTGACTCTCAGCTGTTTTTACAGGTGAGTGATTGAATGGTTGAGTTCGGAATTCATGGGTCACAGCAATTTCACCCCAAATCCCCTCAGACGTAGCTCTGAGACATCATCTGAGACGTCATCTGAGGTCTACCTGCCTTTGTTCCCCCCCCCCAAAACCTTTCTAGGTAGCCTAAGTTCGTTCTTTTTGGATCTCTGTAGAGATCAAAATTTAAGTTAAATTTTAATTCTAGAAAATTTGTATATGTTTATATACTTTGTTCATTTTTCCAACACATGATGAGGTTTTTTTCCAATCTGAAAACTAGAGCTTTCAGTATCTTGAAAAAGCTTTCTTTCTGTATGCTTTAAAATGATATTTCTATTCCATTTATCTGGATTTTTTCCCCTTCATATTTCCAAAATTTGAGATTCTATCTTCTCTGTGCTATATATATTACCTTCACATATTCATATGTATTTGCATATATTCATACAAATTTTCATCTCTTATCCCTCTTCCTTGGAATTCTTCCATAGGTTCTCAAGCTCATCTGCCATATTGAATTTGTTTTGATTTGGTCCTTTACTATTTGTTGTTCCCTTACATTATTTCCCTACCACTACCAATTCATCTTCACCTCATATTTTGTAAGGTTCATGTTTCTTTCATTTAATTGAAAACAAGGTGGCATTTTTCATAATTACTTTTGTTTCCTTTATTAAAGCTTCTCCCTCCCTCTCCTTTCTCTGTCTGTCTCTCTTTGTCTCTTGGATAAAGAAGGCTCCATCCCATCAAGATATTCATCCCAAGTCACTGTGGGTGGGATCTCCTCAAGTACCTCACAGTTTACTTCAACACATACAGAATTTCTCCTCTCGTAAGCCGGAGAGGTGGTTGTTGTAGATTTAGGGTTACAATTCAGGGTACCAGAAGCCTGAAGGCCCTGTATCTCAAAAGGCTCTACCAAAGAGCAGCTTTCTGTTTATTTTTCCTCTCCAACCTGCCATCTCACCTCATGATCATGGTGTGGCCCTCCAGCAACCCTCCCAGAACATTCCCCTGGGGCGTTGCTGTAGAGGGCCTCTGTATCATGAGACAACCCGCAAGGGAGAAGTCCTGGCGTGGCTAGGCTTTCTGATTGGGGTAAGCATGCTTGCCTTGCTTTGGATCCTCCTGCTGCACCGAAATGGTTCCAGCATCTGGGCAACTTCTTCCACGGGTCACTGTCACCGCTGCCCTTCTGCAAACTATCCTCTGCCTATCTCCCGAGGAACAGGGTTTATGAACTAACGATCATTTTTTTTTCTCCAGTCTGTTTCCATTTAGATCAAGCAGACATGAATCAAACTTTTGTGGCTTCATTGGGTGGTGGCTAGTCCACAATTCCCACCAATTTTATATTCCTTTGGCCACTCCTACCCAGGGCAGTTGGTTCTGACCTCATACCACCATCGTTCCCACAAGCTTCCCTCTAAATGTTTGATATCCAACCCTTAATGGCTGTCACACAGTAGACCTGTGAACGGTACTAATGAGCATCTTCCTGGACACGTCCTCCAATCCTTTGGCACGATTTTCCTTTGTAGGTCCAGCGCCATCTTTCCAAACTCTTTGACAATATGGCAAAGATGCAGTTCCAACCGGACGCCGGTGAGCCACCAACCAAGATAAGTCTTGGCATGTACAGCAAGGAAGGAGAGTATGTGGCCTTCAGCGAGCCCTGTGACTGCAGTGGTCGGGTAGAGTAAAAGTCCCTTTCCCTCCCTTCCAATCCCTTTCCCTCTCAAGTGTCTGCATTCAAATGCAGGCAGCCTCAACCTTCAGGATGGCCACCTTGACCTTGAGCCAGAACTGCTGTCTGTGTCCCGGGACTGCCAGCTTCTCTTGACTTGAACTGACATCGGAAACGTTCCTAGTCCCTGCTCTGCTCTCCCCAGGAAGGACACATGTCAATATCCATTTGTTTTTCTTAACCAAAGACCTGTGTGGAGAGGAATAAAATGCACATAAACAACTACCCCAGTCAACTAGAAAAGGAGTTTATTTATTTATTTATTAATTTTTAAAGATTTTATTTATTTATTTATTTGACAGAGAGAGAGATAGCGAGAGAGGGAACACAAGCGGGGGGAGTGGCAGAGGGAGAAGCAGGCTTCCTGCTGAGCAGGGAGCTCGATGCGGGGCTCGATCCCAGGACCCCGGGATCACGACCTGAGCCGAAGGCAGACGCTTAACGACTGAGCCACCCAGGCGCCCAAAAAAAGGATTTTAAAGTGATTAGCAGCACAGGGAGGCTTTAACATGACAACGCCTGGGGCACCCCACAGGGGAATCTAGCACGCTGACATCTTACCCTGGAGAAAATGCTCTTTGAAATCAGCCATTCTCCTGAGATGTCATTTCTCTGTACAAATACAGCTCAGAGTCACTTCCTCCCACAGCCCTAGCCCTGGGAAAGCCAGATCCCATCCCACTCCAGGAAGTACTACCTCTAAGTCTCCCGTGTACAGTTCAAGAAGCACAAAACATGGGATGGTTCCCTCCTTAGACTTCCTTCCTATCCTTTCCCATCACCGCTAAAGTATAAGCCCTTCTTTGTTTATTATCCTAAGTGATCCAGCAAAGCTTTGTCCCTGGGGCTTCTAATCGAGTCCAAAATCATACCTGGAGAAAAGATCTTTTACAGAGGTCTACCTTCATCCACATGTTTCTTGGAAAGCAATTCCAATTCCAGGAAATGATCAGACATTCTTAGTTTTATGAGAAGGAACCCTGGGGTTTGATTCAGGATGTGTCCATTGGTAGACCAGAAAGCATTTAGTTGGAAAATATAATTCTGGCTGACATCGCCATCCTCAGTGTGGACAAGCTCACGGGAACCCACTGACTTACTGACCTTGCTCAACCCAGATTAAGACTTCCTTGAATGAAGCTTCCCATAACCTGCTGCTTTGTCCTGTATGTTCCAAATGGGCCTGTTTTTTTTTTTTTTTTCTGCACAACTTCTTTTATTTTTATTTATTTTATTTTTTATTATGTTAATCACCATACATTACATCATTAGCTTTGGATGTAGTGTTCCATGATTCATTGTTTGTGCATAACACCCAGTGCTCCACGCAGAACGTGCCCTCTTTAATACCCATCACCAGGCTAACCCATCCCCCCACCCTCCTCCCCTCTAGAACCCTCAGTTTGTTTTTCAGAGTCCATCGTCTCTCATGGTTCATCTCCCCCTCCGACTTACTCCCCTCATTCTTCCCCTCCTGCTATCTTCTTCTTTTTCTTTTTCCTTAACATATGTTGCATTATTTGTTTCAGAAGTACAGATCCGTGATTCCTCAGTCTTGTACAATTCACAGTGCTCACCATAGCACATACCCTGCCCGATGTCTATCACCCAGCCACCCAATCCCTCCCACCCCCCACCACTCCAGCAACCCTCAGTTTGTTTCCTGAGATTAAGAATTCCTCATATCAGTGAGGTCATATGATACATGTCTTTCTCTGACTGACTTATTTCGCTCAGCATAACACCCTCCAGTTCCATCCACGTCGTTGCAAATGGCAAGCTCTCATTCCTTTTGATGGCTGCATAATATTCCATTGTGTATATATACCACATCTTCTTTATCCATTCATCTGAAGATGGACATCTTGGCTCTTTCCACAGTTTGGCTATTGTGGACATTGCTGCTATAAACATCGGGGTGCACGTACCCCTTCGGATCCCTACATTTGTATCTTTGTGGTAAATACAAATGGGCCTGTTTTTAACTGAGCATCATTCTCACCAACCACTGTCCTGGGTCCAGAAACAAAATGGCTCCCTGTGCCTTCTGGCAGCCATTGGGGTTGTACGTTTTCTTCACTCCCTCAGGGTGAGTGATCATACATTCCTCAGAACCCAGCATCTCACTCAGAGTTCTTTTTCAGGTAGAAATATGGTTGAACCGTGTGCTTGCTCATATGAGGGCCACAGTGAGGCACGGGATGACAGAAGGTGTAGTTGCCTACGAAGAAAAGCCAAGGGAACAGTGGCTCTTTGACTATCCAGCTCAGGTATTCTAACCAGGACTTTTGTGGGCCCCCGTCCTTCACTAGGTCCTCTCCCTTGGGGGCCTCCTGCAGCCTTCAGGGCACACCAGACCCCAAACTCACTATGTGCTTCCCAGTTAGAAGAGGCTGGTCTGTGAGGGGGTTAGCAAGAGGGAACAGGGGAATTGTCAGCCATGACCCACTCCAACCATTACCTTGGAGAATCAAGGGTTGGCTATTTTTACCCTCACTGACTACCGTAGGGAGAAAATGTAAACCATTCAACTCATTGAGCCAACCTGCTTGGGATATGCTAGGATCTTCACTGAACACAGGAGACCCCCAACAGGGAACAAGACATCATAACCCTGCCCTGCCGAAGTTTACAGACTGATGTGAAAGTCAGTCGCTTACCAATGAGACCTGGTACTCTGGGAGCACAGAGCTAGCTAGTAGGGTCTGGGGACCGCCCCCCTGAGGATAGGACACGGAATCTGAGGTCTGAAGTAGAAGCAAACAAGTGAAAGATGGAGGGAAAGAGCCACCAAGCATGGGGAAGACCATGAGCAAAGGCTCAGAAGCAAGGAAGAGCATCCTGTGATTGAGGAACTGAGTGTGGTTGCAGCAAGAGGAAGGGGAGGAGGAAGTGAGGCAGCAGGTGTGTCCTGCAGAAGAAACTCAAAGCCAGTTCTTATGGACCACCTGAGGGAGTCTGACTTGCTTCTGAGATGTATCTGAATCCTTTCCAGGCTTCTCAGGAGGGCGATGAGGGAGAGGTGTGAACTAATGAGAATTGTTTAGATGACTCTGGCTGCAACATACCCTCCTGCCTTCCCTGTTAGGGGCACAGTGCTGGCGCTGGTACATTTGGGGGTTGCAGATGTCTACCGGTAATTGAAGCCATAGGCGTAGAGAGGATGGCCTTGGAAAACACGTAGATGGAGATGAGGATGTTGAACAAACCCTTGAGCGTCATGCAAAGACGGGGTCAGCGAGGAAGAGCCGGTAAAGCAGAAGGAGAAACGGTGCCTTTTTAGATAGAGGGAAAACCAGGGAATGGTCATAATGGAGACCAAAAATGAAACTGTCAGTAGTGGGTGAGAGGTCAGTCATGCCATGCACTTGGAAGAGATCAAGCAAAACAAAGAGGCTGAGAGGCATCCCTGAACTTGGTGTGGCCATTTCAGTGGAGTGCCAGGTGGTGTCATGTTGCCGGGGGGGCGGAGACGGGAGAGGAAGGTTGGAAAATGTTGGCAGCGAGTGTAGACTTGGCAGCAAGTGTAGACAAACAGAAGAAATGAGAAGGAAGTCAGTACTGCTGAAGGGAAGAAGTCTTTTTTTTTTCTTTTCTTTTTTTTATTATTATGTTAATCACCAAGGGAAGAAGTCTTTTAACTGTGCAGTTGGCATGTCACATTCAAACCATCCCAACAAGATCACAGCGCAGGCAGAACCGTATGTCTAAACCCAGAGGCAAAATCAGATAAATGAGAGAATGGTACATTTATATGATGGGTTTCTCTTTTTCACAAAGAGAATCATTCCTGTCAGGATTCCTTTGTTTACCTGAATCAGAATTTTGAGGCAAGAAAATGTGTTGCCTTCTGCTATTGGGGTGGATCTCTAGAGCAGTGTCTCCCAAATCAAACGATACAACAGATGATCAATGCATCTAAATTCTCCACCATGAATAATCAGAATTATGCCTTTTCCATATTAAGTTCTCAGCAAACAGAAGAAATGTTCATTCGAATCCCTTTTCCATGTATCTATTTCGAACCTCTGAAAAACACAAATCCTGTTGACCATGTTGAACTTTGCTGTAATTCACCTTGATCTTCAAGAGTGGGCTTTTCAAGGTGATAGGTTTTAAAAACTAAAAAAATATATGTAGCAAAAGTGTTATGGACAAGCAAAAATGTGCCACAAATGATCATCAGTGGCTCACTAAGCTAGAATACTCAGACCACAAAAAGTTCAAGAAGAACAGAACAAAGTCTAAGTGCTATTGAGATGTTCAGTCAGCATATTGTTAACCTCCCAAGCACAGGAAAGATGTTTTGCCTGGGAGGTAAAAATGGAAAGCTCAGTGTAGCAATTTCTAAAAGCCACTGACATTGACCAGAGTGACTCTTTGGTTGTTTTCAACCAAACAATACATTTTTTTTGAGAGCAGAAAGCGCTTTCCCCACTTGGAACCACTTCCCATCTCCAAGGAGATGGAGACAAGTGGCTCGCTTAATCAAGGCTGTTGGAGGGAAGGGGCTTACGTCACCCATGTGATTCCATTCTGGTTCTTGCTGGGTGATGGATGAGTGGGCTGGTTTGGGAGATAGTCCTGGTGAGGTGATGGCTTTACTAAGTGGCTCCTTGTGCCACAGGTGGCCCTGACCTGCACTCAGATCTGGTGGACCACAGAGGTGGGCATTGCATTTGCCAGGCTGGAGGAAGGCTACGAGAATGCCATGAAGGACTATTACAAGAAGCAAGTGGCCCAGCTCAAAACCCTCATCACCATGCTAATTGGCCATCTCTCCAAAGGGGACCGGCAGAAGATCATGACCATATGCACCATTGATGTGCATGCCCGGGATGTGGTGGCCAAGATGATTGCTCAGAAGGTGAGTCCCAGACATTTCAGGAGGGTCCCTCTTGGTGGGCAACTACACCATGAATGGTGGGATAAGGGAGAAGCTCACATACAGCTCAAACATGGAGGTCCCAGACTCTGTGCTGGCCAGAGAGCCGGGAGAGGGTCATGGTGGCTGCTCCCAGCAAATGAGTATCATCAGAACAGCTCGTGCTTTCTGTGCTACGGGGGGCCCAGCACATACTCTTGACTGGCAGACAACACCCAGCTCATCCAGAGCCCTGTGTGTCCTGTGGCCGGCAGGCCCCATGCTCCCTGCTGGACAGCGATTCACCCTCTCTTTAGGTGGACAGTGCTCAGGCCTTCCTCTGGCTGTCCCAGCTGCGGCATCGTTGGGATGATGAGGCCAAACACTGCTTTGCCAACATCTGTGATGCGCAGTTTCTCTATTCCTACGAGTACCTGGGAAATACACCTCGCCTGGTGATCACGCCTCTGACGGACAGGTGAGCACTGGCGTCAGCCCCTCACAGAGAACCCGATGGCGGTCTGCCTCAGGCCAGCCGGGGTCAAGGCCACCGTCACTTGCTACTTGTCCACAGAGCTGTAGGGGGTTGGGCCTGACCACACAACACATGTAAAAATAAAACTGAAAGTATGTAGGGCAGGGCCCTTCTCAGAATGAACCCCAGAGCAAATCAGTGAGCTGTGATTTTTTTTTTGAGGAATTACTAGGGAGTCATACACACCTGGATTCTCACACCAGCTCTAACACGTACTGGCTTGGCTAATTGACTTTGAAAAACTTGACCTAATTCTTGTTCTTGGTTTTCTCCTCTATGAAATGGAGGTAGTAACTCCCACCTCACGTGAGGTTTGTAAGGACAAAGGACAATAATGTTCATAAGGAGTTTCAGAGTATAGGAAGTGCTCAGTAGATGATCCTATTACTATTTTCTTTTTTTTTTTTAAGATTTGATTTATTCAAATGAGAGTGAGAGAGCACAAGCGGGGGAAGGGGCAGAGGGAGAGGGAGAAGCAGACTCCCCGCTGAGCAGGGAGCCTGACACAGGACTCGATCCCAGGACCCTGAGATCATGACCTGAGCCGAAGGCAGATGCTTAACTGACTGAGCCACCCAGGCACCCCCATTACTATTTTCTTACCAATCGATTGGCACATTTCTTGAGCACCTCTTACTCTGGGAATCAGATCGAAGCCAGGTAGTCCCTTCCATGAAGGAGCTTAAAATTTTTGGAGAACCATAGTCTCTGTCATTCATATTAATTTATGAATGAATTCACACCAGTCCCCAAAGTAGTCACTGGGCATACAAAGGTGACCAAAACATTTCCTGCCCTTAGACTCCAGTTCCAGTGAGGGAAATAAGACATATGTAGATAAAAATTTAAATAGCACAAGGGGAAAGTGTGCAGGGCCATAGTATAAAATAGGGCTCACAGTCATTTGCCACAAATTTCCAAGCAAGTGACTTAGCCATAAGCCCTCCAAGCATGAGGATCCCGCCCACCACAGGAAGAAGACTGGGAATGCACCAGGGAATGCGTGGTATCCGATCTGGACCTGGAAGGAAGTGTAGAATTCCAACAGTTTTTCAGTAGGTTAGAATGACTGCCAGGCTGTCCATGAAAGTGTATAGAAATCTGTGCGCATGTCACTGTTTCTGGTAAGAGGATCTATGGCATCCATTACTTGTTAAAGTGGTCTAGGATCCCCAGAAGCTAAAGAGCTACTGATAAGCATTCTGGAAAAATGGAATTCTGTGTGCAAAGACATGGAAATGGGAGAATCCAAGACCTGTTCCTAGAAGAGGGGGTAGACTCTTGACTTGGGAGGATATGGTTGGTCATAAGCCTGGTAAGGTGGGCAGAGTCCGACCGTAAAGTGTGCAGCATACTTTCTTTATCCAGTAAGTAGTGATAAACTATTGGGAATTTTTCATCAGAGGAGTAAAACGATGAAAACTCTATTTTATGAAAATGTATCTGACAGCACAGCTTGGGCAAAGGAGAGTGAGGACAGGCTATTTTAATTCTGTTGAGATTTCTGTAAAGTCTACTCCAAGTGTGCACCCTTTTCCCTTATAATTCCGTTGAGCCTAAATCCTTTCTTCTCCAAACTGAGGTGCGTACATGAATGGCTGGCTCACTCTAAATATTTAGTGACTTGTAGATGGCAAAGACATAGTCATAAATTGTGAAGGTCAGAATGGCCACATAGAATCAATGCTATCTTTTATTTAATTTTCCCTCACCTGTTTTTAAATGTTGCCACCTGCAGCCTTCTGGTCAAATCCTCAGATGTATTTCCAAGGAACGCTGAGTGGAACTGTAATCGCGGTGCTCATGGGATGAAATGGGATGTGGGAAAATCCCAACGTTATCCATAAAACAAGAGCTCATGGTTCATCTCTCCCGCTTGCCCCCATGGTGTTCATTTTTTTAATTCATTTTCCTGCCCAGTCGGACCTTCCATCCACAGTTCCCCTCAAACCTTTCCATATTTACTCTTGTGTATCTTTTTTGGGGGGTGGAGGGGGGAGCCTGCAGAGGCCACGTCACTGTCTCTGGTCACTCCCGACTGAACTTAGACTAAAATCTGAATTCCCCCTGGGACCCAGCAGTTCCTGCCCATCACCTGACACCTCAGTCCCTGCACCCCAGCCCCACTGGCCTCCTTTCTGTTCCTTGATCCCCTTAAATTAGAGCCTTCTGTACACATGGGTTTCCCTCTGCCTGGAATGCCTTTATCATGCTCACTATTCCATAGTCACCTTTTCATCCTTTCGTTCTGTCCTCATATCTGAGGATGCCTTCCATGACCTCTCTTACTAAAATCCAGCCTCACCCACCACACACACACACACACACACACACACACACACACACAGCAATAACCCGGATGGTTCCCTCTGTTTACCTTCTTCCTAACATCTCCCACATTCTGCAAAGATTTGCTTGCTTCCTTGCTTATTGGCTGCATTCCCCTTTGGAATGGAATCTCTTTGCGGTCAAGGAGCTTTGTCTCGTTCATTGCTATGTCACCAGCACCTAGTAGACCTTGAAATTAGCATCTGTCGAATGAATGAATAGTGGTTGAATATTGAAGACCCAGATGGTAGGAATAGACAGAATCAAAGAGGAGGTTGACTCACGGGAGGGATCCACACAAGACTCTGCCTTGGCTCCCAAAGAAGGAAGAACAGCTTCTCTGTCTTCTGCTCTGGGCTGGGGACCAACTTTCCTCCCTGCCCCAGCTTAGGACAAAAGGCAGATAACATCCGTTCCGAGAGAGATGCGAGTTTCTCTGTGGTTGGGACAGTGTTGGCAACAGCAAGTCTTGGGGGCTTTGGGCATCTTAGGGTTGTATTTGGCCTTCACTTGAGATCAGTCCATTAGAGGTGCTCATTTGGTGTGGGCCAAAGGAAAAGTTTTCCCACCTCAGACTTCATTCAGAGTGGACCCTCTCATGTGTCTTTGTCTTTATAGTGATTCTCAGTAAGACACCAACCCTAAACAGGAAGGAAATCTGGTCCAGGATTCTCGTTGGCAGTGAGTTTTTCCGCCAGCCTTGGAATATAAGCTAATAGTTTGGGAATTTACATCACTTGCAACAGAATAATGAAGCTATTATATATTTGAGCCATTCGATTAATGTCTCTCTTGCCCTAGACTGTATGTTCCATGGTAACGTTGACTTCGATCTACTCACTGCTCTACTCCGTGGGGACCCAACACCATGTTAGGCACATGATAGGCATTCAAGAAATTCACTCCTTGAGCAGATTCAGTGAAACAATTTTTGAGACTTGAGTATGTGTCCCAGCTTTCCTATACCTATCACAATATGTCTCGTTCCTTTCTGTGGACATATCGGATGTTATCATTCCAAGTGATAAAGTTGCTGGAGTGGAGGGGGGTGGGAGGGATGGGGTGGCTGGGTGATGGACACTGGGGAGGGTATGTGCTATGGTGAGTGCTGTGAATTATGTGAGACCAATGAATCACGGACCTGTACCTCTGAAACAAATAATACATTATATGTTAATAAAAAAAAGTGCAAGACTTTTCCATTTCCCTGAGCCTTCACACTCGCCCAAGGGTTGAAGAAGATAATTGCCTCATTTGGATTTAGAAGCCTCTAGTATACTAATGTTGAACGCCTTCTAGAGAGGAAGAAGGTAAAGCTTGGACAAGGAATTATCTCTAAAACAGAAATTTATCACCCCTTCTATGGAACAGTGCAAATAAGAACTAGAAAGGAAGATTTACTGCAAATAATGATGAATACTATATAGACCTTGACCTTGTTTTGCACTTTAGATGCTTTTCTGACAAAGTGGTACGTAGTGAATATTTATATGTAAAATTCCATTTTCTCGTTGACTTCCATTATTATCTCAAGAAATGTTTTGCCCGGAAAAAAAAAAAATTGGCCTTAGCACAGAAAATCACATTTTAAAGAGCATTCAGCCTTTGCTGGTGTGTAGCCTAAGTGCATTTAATTCTCTCCTGCCAGAGGAATTAATCAAATGGACAATTGATCCATACAACCTTTGCACATTCCCACATTACAGTACGTCCCCACATTACAGTACGTCCGACTGATTATGCCTATTTCTTTGGAATTTCCCACTACCTGGATGGGACCTGAATGTATAAGTGGGTACAATGACTCCACCACTCTCGGGACTTTGGCCACAGCACTAAGCTGAAGAACTAAATGGAAATGCTTTTTCAGGCTGAACCAAAGCAATTTGTGTAAGTTGTTTCTCAACCTTTGGATGACCTCCTCCTCCCATAACTCCCCTCCGTCACCTTCACACCCAGCTGCCCCTTTTCCCGCCCTGTGCTGTGCTAAGTATGGTTTTAATCAACTGCTTATCAAGTTTGAGTCCCTCCTAATTTCTCAGGAACTACTGCAAGCAGGTGAGATGACCCCAGAGTCTTTGCAGGTGATTTGCCAGGTAAGGACACAGCTAGCAGAAGTCCTACGCTTTCTAAGTTTTTATCTGCAGTTTTTATCGGAAAACTTAGTATTCTGCAAACAAAGAGATAACCATTGTTAATATCTCGTCTGTTTCCTTCTGCCTGTAGATTTTTGACAAAATGCAATTGCCATCATATGCTTTATGTAAAATACAAGAGATTGCTTTTTTATAAAAACCATAACATTATATCATGTGAGTATCTTCAAAACATTCTTCTGAAACACTCTTAAGAGCTGACTTACCTTCTCTTTATAAGTATCCTATCATTTATGTAGCATACCCATATTACAGAATATTTAAGTCCCACCTAAGCCTTTACTATTAAAAATGAATCTGCCATGAACTTGCTTATACATAATTTTTTACTGTATTTCTCCTTATTTCCCCAGGAGAGATTCCGGGAGGCAGGATAATGAGATGACACATACTTTAAAATTATTCTTGAAACAAATATTGTTCCCACTCTCACTAGCAGTTTATGAGAATGTTCACCTC